CTGAATGAGCCACCTCTCCTTCCATCCTCTCGTGGAGCACACTACATCATGCGTCCATCCCACAGAGGAGGGCGGGGGCTCGCAAGGGAGAGAAAATATCTTTTTCTTCTACCCTTGGCTGGGGTAATAAGAAACAGATTAACTAGAGAAAAGCACACACATTTATTGAATGTAAAGTTAATGCAATCAGAAGCCTTCCTAAGGAAATGAAGAGCCAAGAAATGGCTCAACCTGAGCATATTTATTCTAGGTTGGATGGAGAGAGGAAAATTGTCAGAAAATATGGGACAAAGGCATGAGGTAAGCGCTGTAAGTGCAGGACACAGAGCAAGGCCCGTTCTTTCAGGTTCCTCCCAGCACCCTCTGCCCTCCACCTTCGGAGGGAAGGATGCACCTTTCCTTCAGGTAGAGGGAGGGCCCCTCTCCCAGGAAGGCCCTATGATGGGCTTCAGGGCAGAAGGGCAGGGGAAGGTCAGAGGGCCCTTTCTGCCAGTTTTCAAATTCCTTTGGTTTATTATATTCCATATACCAAGGTACCATGTTTAGGGTTGGTGTGTCCTGAATCCCATCATGCTTCAGGAGGTTAAGTAACTCACTTGTCTGTGGACACATGCTGAGTGGAGTCACCTGGATTCAAACTGAGGCCTTCCTATAGAACAGGTCAGTTTGTTGACCAACTAAACCACAGTTTCTCATCGCTCTATCCTCTATTTTCATCCTACTCAACGTGCTCATCACACTTGTGATGTCATCCCTTTTCAGAGGTCAAGAAACTGAGGTTCAGGAGCTAAAAAACCAGTTGAGTCAGATGACAACTGATAATTAGTATCACTTCTTAAGTAGTTCTATTGACAGGAAATGGGTCTGATGATGATCATAACCTTTACCGACTTAGTGATGACGTGCCAGCAAAGCTTCTCCAGAAAGCGGTACAGCACGGAATGGCAAGGGTTAGATTTACTTCTTCAAACATGACCTCATTGAAACAGGCGGAGAGGCAGGGCAGCAATCCCCAGATCCCCGGGCACTCACCTCAGAGCGACTCCTGTCAGCCCACACTCCCCACATACTGTGAAATCAGAAGGGCTGGCACGAGAAGTTCTCTGACTGTCTCAACCTCTAGAGCTGAGGTTTTGTTTGGTTAATGAGGCTGTTAAGAGGCCTGAATACTGAAGCTCTCAGGCAGATTGGCCGCTCTTGGTTTTTGCCTCCCTCTGACCAAAACCATTCCCTAAAACCGCTTGGCAACCTACCTTGAGCTTTTTCAGATGAAATTAATGATCTATGAATCTAAAACAAGCCCCAGATAGCAGCACCAAATTGCTAGGGAAATAATACGAATAATAAGCTTGACCCAAAATACTGTCAAAATTACAACAAAGCATAAGCTGTAAGTACAGCCTTTCCTTCTTAATGACATGTCTTAAAAATTATTAACCAGCCACGGCTTAAAATTTTTAAATAAATTATCAACCAGCTACAGGAACCAAAAATCACTTGAAATTTTTTTATTTAATTTAGCACAGTAGGTAAGAGGTTTGTACCCTTAGTATCACTAAAACCAACAACCTAGTTTGCATAAACTGTTGAGAATACTCTGTGCTTGCTTGAGTACCATGTGCTTGTAAAACCATGCCCAAAACAAAACCCTTCTTTCAAAAATCTAATGCTAGTCAGACCTTAGTTTAATCTTAAGGAGGATTTCACAGCAGTTACTCTCTTGAGGAAATACATAATTAAGTAGTTTTTTAGCATATTTAATTAGACCCCAAACTCTTCCCTGTCCCCTTCTCTCCCCAATTATGTACCATTTGCCCAAGAGACCTAAGCAACTCAGTTAATTATGTAAATAAGGCAAGCGTTATTCCCAAGAAAAGCATTGTGAATATTTGTGGGGAAAAACTGTATATAGTTTAGTAGCTTTAACAAACCTTTGCAGAAAAAAAATACAGGAGTACCAAAACACACGGAAAATCCTTACATTTGAGGCAAAAGGCCTGAAGTTTCAATGATGAGATGGTGAATCATTAAAACAGGACACTCATTTCATTTCTTAAATATGAGCTGAATAAAAGTAAAATAATTTTAAGTTACAACAGTAACAAAAATTTAGTGCAGAATGTCAGATGATTTATGGGAAGAATCAATCTGGAAATTATTAAAGTCGACTCTCACGGAAAAGGCTTTATTATCAAGGGGTTGACATGATCTTAACTCTAGAGGCAGCCATGGTGCTGTTATAACTACTACAATCCCATTATTATGCAATCACAAAATGCTAATTTGATCATTTTGAGGTGTTATTTGAATAGTCATTTTAATTTCTAGGTTACAAAAAGGCTTGACTCAAGTATAATTCTCTATTAATCACTGAGATGTCATTGACTATCATATTGATGCATTTCACAAAGATAAAGAAAGACTAATTTAATATGTACAGTACAATATCCTTCAAATATTAGCCACTTTCATTACATATCTGCCAAACGCATCAATATTAAATAATAGATGAGAACAAGGGTTTAATTGTATTTTAGCAATTGTAATATGTAGGATAATAATAAAATAGCATTGCATCGTAACACAGACTTATCGATATATAAATCTTTCTTAATCAATGTGTAATGGTGACTGCTCCCTGCTCATACCCTTTGTGAATTACAAACAGACTTGCTGTGACAAAAGCACAGAGTCTGAAGTGTAAACACACATCCAGCAAATATAATTCCTTTGTGACCGAGGAAATGGCTTACTTTTTTTTTTTTTTTTTCCTTCGAACTTCAGAAGTTAGATTAATACACTAAGTAGAATTTACAACCTTCTGACTTAACTAAACCTTAGAAATTAATAATAAAGTCTAATGGTATAAGGAGAATTCTAGAACATAATCTTCTGAAAGGTCTGTGCTATTCTGCTGGCATAAAAGCATTATCACACATTAGTTATTCCAGCAATTACATCCTCAAATAATGAGAGGGTATCAGGCGATGGAAGCAAATAAATTCCAGCTGTGTAACAGAATCCCAACAATGAACTTCCCACGTACCTAAATTAATCAATTGAAGTATTGTATTTTATTTTAGTTATATGAATTGTCAGAAAAGCCATGACGTATTTTTCTACGTTTTTGTATGCAAAAATGCATCATGACTTTTCTGACGACCCAATATATAGTCCAACTCATTATTTTTGAGAGGCTGACATGCCAATCCCTTAGGGGAACCTACCTTCTCTTCTCTGCATACAACAAAAAGTAACAGGAGAAAGCAGCACAGACAGGCTGAAAGAGAAGCTTTTACATCCATACACTCGAGTTTCCTAAAAGTGATTCTAGATTTTTTGGAGCACCTGGTTTCTAGTTCTTGCCCTTGCTTCCTGATGAACATAACAGCCTCAGCTGCTGGTGGCCATGCGTGCTACTAAAACCTAGGGACACCTGCAGAACTGTATGCGGTATACATGTTTTGAAGAGAAAACATCTCTTTGCTCAAAGATGACAACTGACAGAACCAGCACATGAATGAGAAAAATGCAAACATAAGCAAAGAGCTGTACGTTTATTAATTGCAATGGTGTTGAAATAAGACAAATTGTACACGACCCCTCCAGGCAATGAGCTATCACTCAGCACCCCCACACCCCTGCCAGGAAGCAAACATAATGGCAATAAATATCAAAATCAACTGCTACTGTCTCCTGAAAAGGCCTCTGCTCAGCTCTGGCTCAGCTCTACAGGGATGCAGAGCGGCGGGGATGGCAGAGGGAGTGCTGCACGGAACTGATTCCCCCTGAAACGTGGCCATGTTTCTGAGAGGAAAATAACACTTCGACTTTTCCAACAGTAAGCTGTTAGAATGAATAGGCAAAAAAATAAAGTTACCCCTAGACAAGTGTCAAACGAGACTCCCCAACAGTGAAATACTAAAATGCAAAGCAATAGCCTAGAATTCTGAAATGAAGTTCAAGCCTCACAAATTTCTGTAGTTATAATAAAGATAGAACAAGATAATGCAAACTTCCTCCCAGAACCACTTTCCAGGCTTTCCCAACACAATTAGATGTTCATTAACCACAATCCAATTAGTTCAAACCCTTAAGTATATTTAGGAGATAAAATACACTCCTAGACAGACAAGTAGAAAGAGAGACAGACAGACAGAGATACAGAGAGAGAGAGAGAGAGAGAGAGTCACAACTTGCCAGACAAGAACTGGCTGAGAGATTGGGTCTGACCAGTCGGAACCAAGATGGCACCTGGAACAACCGCTGCCTAAACTTTAGGCTCATTATGCCCGCCTTGCGCTGCATCAGCATGATAGATGACACTGCCACCTGCACCACAACGATTTGGAATAACCACGGTAAAAACCAGAACTACCCTAGTAAGGCCAGAAAATAGGAGGGCCAATGGTTTCAGGAAAACCACTGCCCCTTTCCCATAAAAAGTCCTGAATAAACTGCTTCTTACTTAGCCTGGCATTAAACCAAGTCAAATAAGCCAGACCTCAATGAGGCCTGGGGCTGCCTGGCCTGTGGGGCAGCACTTCTGTGTTTCTTTTCGGATAACAGTTCTCTCCTTCCTTTGGAGATCTGCAGCCAGAGAAGCGGTGGGCAGTGGCAGCTCGTCATGGGCTAAATCCCTGATGCGACGGAACAACTCACGCATCCCCTCCCCTCCTGAGCGGCTCCCCTCCTCCCGCATGGAGTAGACTGCTCTGTATACTTTCCTTAATAAACTGGCTTTCAGTCCTCCTCAAAGGCTCGCTCTTGAATTCTTTCCTGCCGAAGCCCCAAGACCCTGGCACCCAGGTAGAGACTCCCCAGGCTTGTCTCCCATCTCCCTGGCAATAATAACACCAACAACAACTACTCCACTCAACTGTGGTTCTACTTAAAGGGACAAAATCGCACTTTCTACTTACCTTGCCATCAAATTTGGAATATTCGTTAAAGGGGTTATTCAGCTGCAAGGGGCACTGCTCCAGGCGCACAGATAGTATTGACTGCTTTCCAGAACTTGGAGGCTTCTCTTTAAGGGATTTTTTTTCAAACAGTGACTTTAACTCCTGGGCTGTGATATAAGAGAAAGATGGAAACATCTTTATTAGTACACACATAGAGACAACCTGTCCACAGTCCCTAGCGGGTCTTGCTTGGAAGCCCAAGGAGGGAGTGTCAAGTCTGACATGTAGAGAAAGTCTTACACATCCTTTGATGTCTGCGCCCTGAAAAGGCAGAGCACGGAAAAACATGCAGGCCAGGACTGCCACTCTAGAAGGACAAGTGCTTAAGGGAGGGAGGAGAATCAGAGCAACAGAGCAGCCATTCTGTAAGAGCAGCAGCCACAGCTGGAGACTTGGCTTTGCCACCGAGAACGAGCTGTGTGATACCAGACAATTCACTAACCCTCTCTGGGCTCTTCAAACTAGGTAATCTTGAAAACTCTTTGAAAATCTCTTATGTGATTCTGGAATTCTAGTTCTTCAAGGTCAAGGTCCACATCTTAATTCTTCTACACTCTCCAAGGGCACCTAGCACAAACTCTAAATGACAGATATGGTGAGGAAGAAAAAAGAGAAAGTACACTTACATAGCTAATATTGGGGTCGTTGGAAAAGTCATGAAGTATTTTTGCATAGAAAAACAGAGAAATACATCATTATTTTTCTGACAACCCAATATTTAGTATTTATTATACCCTCTCATCCTCATCCTGAGACCATGCAATAGATGCTAGCACTATCTCAATTCTGTCAATGTGGAAACTAGCTTAGGATATTCTGACCAGCTCAAGGCCTCATAGCTAGTAACCAAGAGAGCTGAGAGCTACAGCCAACCAAGGCTCCTAGATATCAGACGAACTATGTAGACCTTCAGTGAATGCTGCTACATGAATGAATGAATAAAATAATAACTGAAGGAACTCAAATTATTAAATCAGAATCTTCAGCTCTTATTCATTAGTAAATCAAGGCAAGTTAGTTTCATATGCTTTTTTTTTTTTTTTTTTTTTTTTTTTCGGGTGCGCATGTGCTTGCAAGAGAGAAACAGAGACAGAGAGACAGAAAGTGAGAAATCACACCCCAGGGGAGATGACCACACCACAATCCCTTCTCCTCCATTCTCCTCTCAGGATCTTGGACATGCATGCACATGCACCTGGCATGAGTTTAAGCCACCAGGTCCCAGACTCAAACCACAGTCAGCTACATGGGAGTCCAGCGACATAGCCATTATGCCAACTACTGGTCCCCCAGTTTCATATACTTTAAAACAGTATTTATTTCTCTAATCTGAACATTGATCAAGATGGTAGATGATAAATATGTGGGGTCATAATACTTTTTCTTTTTGTAAATATTAAAAAATATGCAGGGCTGCTGCTACCATCTGGAGGTTGAGGGAGCAAGATCCCACATGGCTGTGCAGTTCAAATTCTGGCCCCAGCAGCTTGAAAAACACACCAGGCCCATGTGCTTATGTGCCCCAAATCCCAAAGCACGGAGAAATAGAAGAAAAGAACTGCAGTGTGACCATGTCCCAGGATGAGGCACTTCCTCCCTGTCTCTCTCTGGTGAGCGCATATGCCCTCTGATAACAACAAAAAATAAAAAGATTCATCTTAACCTTTTAACATAGATCAGGAATTTAAATAACCATAATGAATACATTCAACCATTCCACTGTTGAATACAAATTAAATGGAAAGGGATCAACAGAACTCTAAAACAGTCACTTAGAACTTCTTTTAAAATGTCACTAAAACTACCTTTACAAGAGAATGGGGGACCAGCAGTTAGCATAATGGCTATGTCGCTGGGCTCCCATGTAGTCCACCGCGGTTAGAGTCCCAGACCCGTTGGCTTAAACTCACGCCAGGCGCGTGAGCGTGCCCAAGATCCGCAGGGGAGAATGGAGGAGAGGGGATTGAGGCATGGCCATCCCCTCTGGGGGGGTGATTTTTCGCTTTCTATCTCTCTGTCTCTCTCTGTCTTTCTGGCGAGTGCACACACCCTATAGTGAACAATCTCTCCAGAAAAAAAAAAATAGAATGGTGAGGTTAATTTATCAAAGGAGTCCCTACAGATTTAAATGGCAAAGTAGAAGGAAAATACTCAATTTTCTTTAAAAATTGGGCACTTGACTAAACAATCCAGATACTGAACATATAAGAAGCACCTGTAATCAACATATCAGTGCATATTTAAAAAGGTTTTAGATTACAATCAAAGTGATATTTTAAATATTGGAAGTACTTTCCTACCTGTAATCTAGTAACAATTTTGTGACTAGCTAACAAAGGAAGGCCCTTTATTAAACATCTAGTATGGGCCCCGACAATGCTAGATGTTTTTTTACTTTGTCCTCACAGGATCCTAAGAGAAAAGTTACTCCATAAAAAAAAGAGTTGTTTTTCCAACCTAAATACTTTGTAGCAGTTACACAACTGCAATCAGTGGGGAGACACGTGAGGTGATGATACTGTATCTCTTCCATTTTCACACTAATCACACTTGACCTCTATCTTCACCCTTCCCCCTCCCTCCCTGCTTCCCATGTCCTTTAGAAACAGAAACCAGCAGAGAATGTTTCCGCATGCTCTCGGTGTACTTTGCCTGCCTAGCCCCCAAGACCGTGGGCAAACTGCCCATACCCCACCTCAGGGTGCCACTCCCTATGACCTTGCCCCCACCTCAACCTTGCCAACTCAGGGCATTACTCCAGCAATCCTCTCCTGTCTTTTCCAACTTCTACTGTATACCCTCTTACCAGATGAGTCACATGGGCACACAAAGATATTGGACACTGCTCATTTGAAAAACAAAACAAAACAAAACCCCCCTCTATCCCAATTCCTTTTCTTGCATTTTCTACCCTATTTTTCTGCTCCAGGATGGCTGTCTAGTCTATATTCTTCCCAGTCTCACTCTTCCCATTTACCTGAATCCATGCCAATAAGGCAGGCATTCAGGCTAAACCACTTCATCAAAGCAGCTTTCATGGAGATCACCCAAGATCCCTTGTTGGTAAACCTACTGGTCAATTTTCTTTTTTTAGAAGTTTTTGCCTTAAGGCTTATGCATTGCTGAGAGAGAAAGGCAGTGAGAGGGAAAGTGAGAAATCTCCCCCAAAAGGGGATGGCCACAATGCCTTCTGGGATCTTGGGCAAGCACGCACACATGCCCAGCATGATTTTTTTTTTTTTTTGGAGAGGTTTTTGCTATAGGGCGCGTGCGCTCGCCAGACAGACAGAGAGAGAGACATAGAGACAGAAAGCGAGAAATCACCCCCCAGGGGGGATGGTCACGCCGCAATCCCTTCTCCTCCGTTCTCCTCTCGGGATCTTGGGCACGCACGCACACGCGCCCGGCGTGAGATTTAAGCCACCAGGTCCGAGACGCGAACCGCGGTCGACTACGTGGGAGTCCAGCGACATAGCCATTACGCTAACTGCTGGTTCCCAATGCCCAGCATGATTTTCAAGCCACCAGGCCCGGGCCTCACACCATGGTTGGAAGTCCAGTGACAAAGCCATGTGGAAAACCACTACAGCATCTGCTGGTCCCTACTAGTCAAGTTTTAATTCTCATTATACAAGAGGTTCTTGCAGCATTTGACATGAGTCAGTACTCCCCACTTTTTCGATCTCGCTTCCCAAGACACTGCTCTGTCTAGCTCTGAGCAGCCTCAGGCCCCTCCTTCTCAGCTTCCTTGCTGACTCCTCCCCTGGAATCACCAGCTCAGTACAGACCTCTTCACTGTCTCTCATCTCATGTTTTTAAATACCATCTATAAGAGGTGAAAATGAAGTGGTGATTTGCATCAGAACAATGGGTGCCTCTGGGGAGCAGAAGATAGAAAAGGGCACTTGGGGAACTTCTGGGAGGAACAGAATCACTCTGTATGTGAATCTCTCTGTGTGTGACTGGGGATGCTAGTTACGAAGAGGTCTATGTTTGTCAAGTCATCAAACTGTATGCTGAGTATCTGCACATTTTACCATACATAATGCACAACTCAAAAAGAGTAAATAAATAGAGAAAATCTAAATCAAGATCCTCTGCATGCTGTGACTCCCAAATCATTCATTCTAGCCTTACACATTCCTTGAAATTGCAGACGCAGTAGGTAAGCTTTCAGGTGGACACCTCATGTCAACGTCCACCTGGAATCTCAGACTATGTGCTCATCACCAAGCTCTTGATCTTACTCTCTATTAATGGCAACTCAATCCTGTTAGACCAAAAACTTGGAAGTCATCCTGATTCTTTTAGCTCATATCCTACATCCTACCACACATCAACAGATCCTTTAAAAGACAGTCATACCTGGGGGCCAGTAGATGGCATAATGGTTACATTGCTGGACTCCCACAGGCTCAATTGTGGTTTGAGTCCTGGACACCATAGCTTAAAAAAAAAAAAAAAAAAAAAAACAACTACAT